GTGCTGCACCCGCACCTCGCTCAGCCAGTGAGCGGGAACCGGTCTGTATGTGGGATCCGAACCCTCGGCGGGAGCGCCGCCGCGCTCCCAAGCGGCGCACTGTAGCAGTGCGCCACCAGGGCGGCCCTAACCTTGGCACTGTTAACATTTGGGGCTGGATCATGCTTTATGGTGGTGGGGGAGGCATCCTGTGTATGGTAGGATGTTTACCAGCATCCCTAGTCTCTAACCACCAGATGCCAGTGCCAGCCCCCCATGTATGACAACCAAGAATGTCTCCAGACATTGTCAAATGTCTCCTGGTGGGGGGTGGGGGGAGCATGGGCAAGATAACCCCAGTTGAGATTGGTCTACCCCTGTGACAATGTTTAAGCATCTGAGTGTTGAATTTGGGTCCTTGCTGTACCACTTGTGAACTATGTGGCATTGAGAAATTTATGCTATTCGATGGACCTCAGTTTCCTCATCTATAAAGTGGAGATACAGTCATCCCTCAGTATCTGTGGGGAATTGGTTGCAGGATCCTGTTATGCTCGAGTCCCTGATATAGAATGGCATAGTATATGCATACAACCTATGCACATCCTCTTGTATACTTTAAATCATCTCTAGATTACTAATAATACTTAATATAATGTACATGCTATGTAAATAATTGTTATACTGTATTTTTTATTGTCATATTGTTATTTTTTGTTGTTTTTTTTTCCGAATATTTTTAATCCGTTGTTGGTTGAACACTCTAATGTGGAACCCACAGACACAGAGGGCTGACTGTCATGAGATACCACCTCATAGGAAGGTTATTTAATTGTTTGGGTTATGCAGACTCTGCCCTCTATTCATCTCCTTATCCATCAGTGAAGTGCAGAGGGGATTATCATCCACCTAAACCTCAGAGTGGATTCTGGTATCCTCTGGCTTTCTGCCTGAGACTCATTGATTTTCCCCAATTTCCCCCTTGGTTCTCTGGGCCTAGGATTCCAGGAGACAGGGATGTGGGTAGGCAGAGCAGGTGGCACTCAGAGTTCACTCCCAGGCTGGAGACCTCCAGAGCCTGCTGCCTAGAGAGGGCATTTGGACCCACATCTGGGCTTCTGGATTCCTATTTGAGCACAGCTGGACTCCACAGACTGAAGCTCTCTCTGCCGAGACATAGCTATTTCCCTGGAAATGATGTCTTAAGCTGACATGAAGACATGGCCACCCATTGGAACATGGTCTGTCTGCCGCAGCTCTCCTATATTTTATGAGGCAAGCTTCTGAGGAATGCAGTGAGTATGTGGAAGATGGTGGGAAGTTCACTCACCCTGCAAGGGCCCAAGCATGGTGCAGATTGGTAAAGGATCCTCCTAGGAGGAAGAAGACACAGGGGACATTGCTTTCAGCTGGAACAGAGAGGTACAGGGTACATAATGGACACTGCAAACCCCTCCATACAGGCGAGCCTCCCTGGACTTGGAGAAGTTTTGGAGCATGAGCTGTGTTGCCCTGGGCTTTAATTATTTCAGAAATACTTAACCACAGTGCTGGAGCTTGATTTGTGTTTCTCAGCTGGGAAGACATGGACTGTAGGCAAATGTCTGCTTAATTCTTTTAATTTCAGGAAGGTTATTGTTTTCCTTTTGTGTCCTCTGGAACATGACATGGAGCTCAAGGGGCAGGAAGGAGACTGGTTTGGAGGCTGGGACAAGGGATCCTTGCCAGTAATGCTGGTGTCTTGGATGATGGCGGTTGTGGAGGTGCATCTGGATGCCTGAACTGAAGATTGTTTATGAGATACACTTTGAAGGACTTATGGATCTATTGGGTATTGGAAATAAGAAAGAGGCAAGGTCAAGGTTGACCCCCAGAATGGCAGGCAAGAACAGGAATTTCATTTTGGACTCCTTAGGGGCAATGCCTGGCAGAATAGATGGGTCTGGGGCCAAGAAGGCAAGTTTGGGCTGGAAATTCAGATTTGGGGGTCATCACATGTAGATGGGAGCTGTGGCTCTGGGAACAACTGAGATGGAAGAGAGTGGAGTGGTAGAAGGGGTTTTGCAGTAAGCCTGGGGAAGCCTTAATGATGAGAGAAGCAGAATCCACAAGAGTGGATGGAGAAGCAACAGCCAGAGGGCACTTGCTTGCACAGACAGGAAACTGAGGGGGTTGAGGGCCATTGTGTTGAAGGGAGCCCATTGTATTTAAAGTGTCACGCTCATCAGCAGTGGCTAGAATTTTTTTTCATTTTTGAATAGTAATTTTTATGGTATAGTTTCAAAACATTTTACAGATACATTGGAAAAATCAATAATGATTTGATAACTTGATTAAAATTTAATCAAAGCAGATATTCACTTGATCTTTGAAGTGAGCCATTTCTGAGTTCAATGTTCCATTGTGGAGAGGTCAGGAGATTATTTTGGCCACAATATATTTGAACAATGACCATGTATAGAAATAATATGTATTTTAATGTTTGAATTAAACAATTTTTATATTCTAAATTTATTTTTAATAACAATTATTTTTGTAAAGAGAACATATTATGTTTTTAGATTTTTTTTCATTTTGTTATTTATTTCATGGACAGATACAAATTGTATATATGCATACGTGAGTGTACAGCATGATGTTTTGAAATATCTATATAAGGACACTTCAAAAAGTTCGTGAAAAAATAGAATTAAAAGATAATATGAATATTTCTATCAGATTTTTGAAGTCCCCTCATAAATTGTGGAATGGCTAAGTTGAGCTTATTAACATATGCATTACCTAACATACTTATTTTTTTGTGGTGAGAACACTTAAAATCTATTCTCTTAGTGATTTTCAAGTATTCAATACATTGTTATTAACTATAATCACCATGATGGGAAATAAATCTCTTGAACATGTTCTTCCTGTCTAACTGAAATGTTGTATCCTTTGACCAACATCTCCCCATCCCTCCCCCCACCCCTGCCCCCCAGTAACCACCATTCTACTCTGTGCTTTCATGGGTTCCACTTCTTTAGATTGCACATGTGAGATCATGCAGTATTTGTCTTTCTGTGCCTGGCTGATTTCACATAACATGATGTCCTGCATTAAAAGGTTCATCCACTTTGTCTCAAATGACAGCACGTCCTTCTTTTGAAAGGCTGAATAGTATTCCATTGTGTATAGATCACACATTGTTGCTGGAAGTGTAATGGAAGTCAGTTTGAAGGGGGGTACAAAGATTCCCCCTAAGTCTGGGCACTCCGGCACCCATGCAGGATGTGTGCATTGAAGCACAGGATGCTCATGGTCTTGCAAAACTACACTCTGTGTGTGCAATTCCAAAGCCCCTGTCCTCCACAATGCCCTGCTGTCACTTTACCATTTTTCCTTGGAAGAGAACCCAGCCTTGGTGGACAGCCCTGCCCTGGCTGTGTTCCTTGGCAAGGATCCCAAAAGATGGTGCCGTTGGGAGACCCTCACCCCTGTACACTAGCCATTTGCCTTTCTCATTCCTTCTCCAAGTATTTGAGCAGCTCCTGTGTGCCAGGTGATGGGCTAGGTGCTGGTCTATGAGATGGATCAGTCCCTCCAGTCCTGGAAATCATACTGTAGTGGAGGAGACAGACAATGGCCCAAGGACCCCTGCTTGTTTATGTAAATAAAGTTTTATTGGAACACAGCCACTCTGATTCATTAACTTGAGGGTCTCAAGTTAAGAAGACTTTGCACCATTCTGTTATCCCATAGCAGCATGAATAGAGCTGCCCTGGAAATGTACATAGCTTTGGGGTGGAGTTGCAGCAAGTTAGTCTCAACTTTGCAAGTCTTCGGTATTAGGGGCAGAACCTGGGGTTTGGAGAGGGCTTTCCTTACCCCTGTGGCTGGGCACTGGGCTAGCACGCTGTCTGATTTTTGTATGGGGGAGAGAAAAGGACAGAATGGTGACTTGCTGCTCCTCCTATGCATCTCCCTGACATGGGTCTCCCAGCAAGTGTTTGGGGTCCCACCTTGCATAGCTGCCAAAATCCTGTGAGGTCGACCTTCTTGGTGCTGTGACTCTGGGTTACAGAGCTTCTAAATTACTGGGAAGGGAGAGAAAAGAAGGATGACTTCTGCAAGCACAAGAAGTCGGGTTATTGAAATTAACATCTCCCCTGAAGTTTTATAACGTCTGGGCATGCATATTTAAGCGTCTGCCTCTAAAGCTCTTGCTAATAACCAGATGGTGCATTTAATTTCCTTTATTTGTTCTCTGAGCAGCACACAGCTTCCTGCACATCCCTCCTTGCAGGCAACTTCATGTGGAGAGGACAGCACTTGTGACCATCAGCATAGTTCCCTGAGGGGACACTGAGAGCCCTCTATTTGTGGGGCTGATCTGAGAGGAGGCAGCCCTAGCAGGAAGGTGTCAGGCTACTCACAGCCTATCACAGGCCTCCTGCCTTTGCTTCTCCAAAGTACCTCAGCTCTCTCTGGCCCCCCAGACCTCACCAGCTCAGGAGCAGGGGTCCCTGGTGGGCTAGGGGTCTGAGGGAGCAGGGATGGGGGAATCTACTGGGGATGAGGCTCCAAAGAGATGATACAGTCAGACAGGAAAGAGAGGAGGAGGAGAGAGGAGAGAGCTATGGAGCACAAGCCAGGGCCTTGGGGGCACAAAGAAGGAGGCTGGATTTCCAAAAAGCAAAGAACCAAGGTCAGACACCTTCAGGGTGCTCTAGGTGTGGCTGCGTTTTGTGAATTTTCCTCATTTCCCTTCTCCTTGTGTGTCAGGGTGTCATAGAAACAAGCTCGCAGGGGGCTCTGTGCAGTGCCCTGCTCTGATGGTTTTTGGGACAAGCAGGCACTGCCCTGGTCTCCTTGGCTCCGTGTCCCCTTCCCCCTCACTGCCACCCCAGCTGTACGCTGTCCCTTCCTCACCTCTCAGACCACCTTCCTGGAGAATCCTGGGCAGGACGTGTGTCTTTCCTCCTCTCTGGCTGAGGGAGACTCTGTGGCTTGGAAAGACGTGGGTGCCTGGGAGGGAAAGTCTATTACTGTTCATTTCTTTCCCTTTTCTTTTTCTGGACTCTGTGTTCTACGTCGTCCTGATGGAGTCAGAAGCCCCTGCTGTCTGCCTCTTCTGCCCTGGACTCTTGGAATTGGACTGGATGAGAGAGTCTGTGTGGTCTGAGTATAATTTTTTAGTTTTTATTCTGCTTGTTAAAAGTATAAATTAGCATTTTCTTATTTGTGAAGAATTTAAACAATACAGCTGTCTACGAAACAAAAAGCAGAACTCCTTTATCGTTCCTCTTTGATCTTGCTTCTCAGAGCTCATACTGGGAAGGGTGGGTGGGGGGATACCCTTCCACATCTTTTTCTGTGTTTGCAAGCACATATATTTGCATCTAAGTAGTTTATTTTTAATCTTTTTATACACAATAAAAATGAGATAATGCTATATTCATTGTTTGGAAAAGCCTCCTTCTCACCCGATGGTGTTCCTTTGACATGATCTTCCTCTTTTAGCAGTAATTCTGATGCACCAACCCTGCACCAACAAGTCTTTGAATGGTTTCCACCTTTCTCCTGTGGCCGATGGTGTTGTGATTAACATCCTCGCACATGTCTGTGCTCTGTGCCTGAGTTTCTGTGAGATGTTCCCGGAAGTGGGCTATCCAGGTCAGAGGCGATCTGTGCTGAAATTGCATCCTGGCTAAATTTCACCCACGGACCATCGTGGTGCCATTCGCCATAGGGCATCATCTTCCGCAGCCTGAAGGGCACGGTCAGCCATGGCATGGCCTGCTTCACCTTCTTTCCCTCTGGCCATTTTGTCCTCTGGTGTCCCTGAGGGCACAGCCACCTCCACTGGCCCCTGGTGGCAGGGATTCCAAGGCCTGTGTTTGTCTCCTCCAGGCCTCAGTTTCCCCAAAGGTAAAATGGGGGTAATATAATAACAATGTTTGCCTCCTAAGGCTGTCATGAGGGTTCAGTGAGATCACTCGTGAGAACAGGTGCACAGCGCCTGGCTTGTGTGAATTCAGAGAGGCCTGGGCAGTGTCTCTAGTGTTGCCCCTTAGTATCTGCTATGTTTATTAGTGATCAGGTGGCAGGGATGGAAATTGGAGCCAAGGCAGAGGGGGCAGAGGAATGGGAGGGGGCTCCTGATAGGTCCCCAACTGGTGACTCTAAGATGAACCTCCAGCCTTAGGGTCCCCTGCCCCTTGCCAAGCTCCAGAGGGCTCTGCTGTGTCTTCCAGGTTGGAGACCAGAAGCTGAGTCTGGCCGGGCCTAGGAAGGTGCTGGTCAGTGTCCTGCTTCATCAGGGCATCTCTAACCCCAGCTTGGACCTGGACCTCAAGTGATCCCCTGATGGCAGGCCCAGCTCGTTCTGAAGCCAGGGACGAAGGACAGGGAAGTATGGAAGGGTGGGGACCCTCATCACGAGTCTCTGCAATGCATATGAGTTTGTGTGTGCATATGCATGAGTGTGTGTGTGCACGTGGGTGCAACTTTCTCTGCAAGTTTCTAAGCCCAAGGTTGTGTTTGTGCAGGACTAGATTTGCCAGATAAAATACAGGAGGTTCGGTTAAACCTGAATTTCTGATTAGCAATTTTTTTTTGTATAAGTATATCCCATGCACTATTTGCAACATACTTACCCTAAAAACGATTTGTTGTTTATCTGAAATTCAAGTGTAACTGGTGTCCTGTCTTTTCACTCACGACAGCTGGCAGTCCTGTGTGGGGGTTATCAGTGTGCTTCCTGGATCGCCATGTGAGAGACTCTCTCTGAATGTGTGCAGTGTCAATATAGGGGCGGGCTGAGAAGATGTGACCCTGTTGCACTGCCTTAGTTGCGCCTGGAAGGGGCTGTGGGGTTGGAGGCTCTGGCCCCTGGGGCTTGGGCAGCACTGTCCAGCACCTCTCTACCCTGCCACCTCTGTGGGCTTCTCTCCCAACTCTCTCCAAACATGGGGCAAGAGCTGTCCCATCTACCTCATTTGGAGCCTGGCTGCCCAGCCAGATGAGATGGCAAACAGTGCACAGATGGCTGCAAAGCTTTCCCCAGCTCTTTCTGCAAGAGGTCTGAGGATAAAGCAGAACCCTCATCCTCCCCACCTCCCCTTTCAGAAAACCCTGGGACAGCTACCGCCAAGTTGCTACTTTAGACACTCTCCCCTCCTGGCAATTACCCTGTGTTTTGCCAAACAAAGTCCTTCATTTCCACCATAAACTTGTTCACACACATGGCTGATTGTCTCTGGTATATCAGTGTGTCTGATGCATCAGGGCGAGGGGCTCTCCTCTCAGGCACTTGGGAAGAGCTGCTGAATCTCCACCTGAAAGACTCTCAGTAGAAACTGAGGGCAACTTTGGAAGAAAGCTGTTTCTTCTGTGTCATTCTGGATACTTGATCATGACTTAAATCATCCAGGGCCCTGCACTGGGTGTCTTGAGCTCCAGGTTGCATTTATGTCCAGCTGGCTTGGGGGCTGTCAGGAAGGACATTGGACTTGGCCTCTGAGTCCATGGCAGCCTTTCATGGGAAGTACTACCAAGGAGCCTCATCCTATGTTTTTTGAATAATTACTATTCAGTTATTTACTGAACTTGTTACAGATGGGGTCTCAGTTCTTTGCAGCTCCTCTGTGAGGGAGGTGCTAAGATTATCTGCATGTCCACTTGCTTTTTCTAGTCTCTTTCAGGAGCCTCTACTTTCTATGGTCTTTCCTGCAACAGGGCCTTTGCATATCCTGCTCTTTCTGCCTGGAACATTTTCCCTCTCCCCACCCCTGCACCTGGTAAAGGTCTTACCCACCCACTGAATCACCACACCTTCAGGGACACCTAGCCACACTGACTCAGTCACAGCCACCCCCTGTCATTTGTTCTCATAATGCCAGGTGCCTCTCTGTTGTAAACTTAGTCCAGCTACCTGTTTCTTTGGGTGTGATTCTTTGGTGAATGTGTGCTCCCTTCTGGACCATAGTCACCATGAGGGCAAGGGCCATACTTATTTATGATTCCCACTGTGTCTCTTTAGCATATGCTCAACTAGAATTTGACTAATGAATGAAGGCATATCAATTTTACAGATGAGGAAACTGAGGCTCAGGAAATTTACACAACTTGCTCAGTATTCTATAGTGACTCAGAGGTAGGGCTAGATTGGAAGCCACCTGGTTGGTCTCTAGGTGCATGCTCTAACCTCTTCACTGTGGTAGCTCTCCGACAGCAGGAGCGAGAGACAACCTCTGGAATATGTGTAGCCAGAATCCCAGGAGTTATCCCAGAAGGTGGTGTCTGGAGAGTATCTGCCTGTGGCCTTCCTACTGTATTATATAAAATGCCCGGTCTTTATGACTTGCCTTTAGCAAAGGCCTTAGCAATATTTGAAGCATGGTTATCAGTGGGGGAGGATAGATGTTTACAATAAAAAAAAAGTCTATAACATATTTAACTTGTGGTCTGTTATGGTCCCTTGATCTTCAGCTTCAGTTATGTAAAATCCACACTGCCTGTCTTGATAGCTGCTCAGTTTCTTTTCTGCCTTCAAGATTGCTTAGGGGCTGGCTCCGTGGCTCACTCAGGAGAGTGCGGTGCTGGTAGCACCGAGGCTGCGGGTTCGGATCCTATATAGGGATGGCCGGTGCGCTCACTGGCTGAGCGTGGTGCAGAACACACTGTGTGGAGGCTTGCGATCCCCTTACCAGTCAGAAAAAAAAGATTGCTTAGGAATTTCCCCCATAACTGGGGCCTGCTCCTATCCCCATCCCTCACTCAGCTTGACTTGGATTTTGTCAATAATCTTCCAACTTTTGGTGAAGGCTGGATTAAAGAAAAGTCTTGAAAAAGAGGAAGTGTGCTGAAAGGTGAAGCTACCTGATGGGCAGGCAGTCATGAGTCAACTCAAAGGCTGGGAGAAGGGCTGACCCGGAGGACGGGAGAGTCTTAGAGCTGAGAGTCAGGCCTGGGTAGAGCAGAGAGGCTGAGACTGCCTGGGTGGACTGAGTGTCTGATAAGCCCCTCCTTCACCCCATGGTGGGGGAAGACCTGATGAACATGCTTAATTTGATGGAGGGATTAGAGAATCCCTTGGGAGAACTTGCCCAGTATGGCAGTAACACAACATAGCCAAGTTATTGATTATTGATTGCCCGACTGTCATCGGCTCAACACCTTCAGGCAGAGCTGTAATTTGTATTAATCATCAATGCAAGTTTTGACTTTCCTAGTCGATACAAGGGGTTGTCAGAGAGTGGTGACTGAGGCTGGGTGCTACCCAAAATGATGGGTATTACATGGGCAAGCTGCTTTGTCTACTTACTGGCAGGTGGAGAGACATCCTAAAGAACTCATTCAGTTCTCTGCAGAGCCCTGAATAAATGGAAAACAATGCTGCTGAAGTCCATCTGTCCATCCATCTATCCACCCATCCATCCATCCATCCATCCATCCATCCATCCATCCATCCATCCATCCATCCATCCATCCATCCATCCATCCATCCATCCATCCATCCATCCATCCATCCATCCATCCATCCATCCATCCATCCATCCATCCATCCATCCATCCATCCATCCATCCATCCATCCATCCATCCATCCATCCATCCATCCATCCATCCATCCATCCATCTATCCACTCATCCATCCATCCATCCATCCATCCATCCATCCATCCATCCATCCATCCACTTGTACTTCCATTCATGTATTCAGCAAAGACCCATTAACCACCTACAAGATTCTGGGGAAGCACCAACTCTAGTGGTGAAGGACACAGGCTCTGGAATCAGATTGAGCTTCACCACCTCCTAGCTCGCTCCCAGGAAAGTTCTAGAATCTCTCCATGCCTCAGTTTCTCCTCTGAAAATTGTCTATTAATTGCTCCTACCACTGCATCTATAGTGAGGGTTAAAAAAGATGCCACGTTAAAAGTGCATAGTCAACACAACAGATATTAGGCTTCCATTTATTATTATTCTTAGTAGGTGCTGCAGATAACATGGTGAACATACGAAAGACACGGATTGGAGCAAATACTGACATACAGGGTGATAAGTTCAGCAGTAGGGGAAAGCCAGAGAGTCACTGGGAAGACCTGGCACAAACTTGGAGGCTCAAGAAAATGTTCCTTGAGAAATTGCTCTTCCAGCTGAGATTTGTAGGGTGGGTAGCTGTTGGGGTCTCCCCTGGAGGTCCCAGACAGGATGTGGCTGAGTTAGCCAGGACCTTGCAAGAATGGGTCCTGGTCACCACTGGCAGAGGTGAGTGATCCCGCTGTCCTGTCCCCTTGGGCTGGACATCCACCAGATCTTGGAGTGGCTAGATGAGGAAGAAGACTGGCAATGACGGTGGTCTCCACCCATCAACACACTCCCTGTGTAGTGTCTGGTAAGCCTGTGCCTCAGTCTCCTCGTCTGGGAAGTGGGGTTAGAAATACCATGCCTGCTTCTCTCCCAGGACAGTGAGGAAGATGAGATTACATGGCAAATGAGGGCTCTTTGAAAATAAAAACATTCTATTTGAATGCAAAGTGTCCTCTGTGCCTGTGATATTTTCTAATCTGTGAAATTATTGTCAACCCTGAAACTGTCTATTCGAGGAAAAAAATAACAATGATGTTAACCCTTTCTCCATATCTCCCCTGGGGGAGGAAATTTGTCAAAGATTGTTGTTGCTATTTTATACACAGGGAAAACTAAAAAAGGTGCAGAAATGGGACCAGGACCCAGGACTCTTGAGTCCCTGTTTGCGTAGTCTTAAATGGGGGAATCTCTGAGTTCTTTCTCTAGTGTTGCTCTATAGGAAACAGCCCTGATCTAAATATTTGCAGGGGTTGGTTAGAGCACGGTGCTAATAACAGCAAGGTCCAGGGTTTGATTCCTGTACAGGCCAGGAGAAAAAAATTTCACGGGGGGACCTTAGACATTATCTACAGCAGAAGCAGATAATCGGTGGATTCAGTCATCGCTACCACTAAGACAGCTCCAGCGCTGAAGCAAGTGGAAATATCTCTGGAGTTAGAAACTCATATTTTGCCAGTTACATGCTGTGAGAACTTGGGTAGCTTGTCTACCCTCTCTGGGCCTCAATGACCTTGTGAAATAGGATGCATTGTAATAAAACAACTCCCAGCCTCCTCCCTCTGCACAAGAATGGTTTCTTCCTACCATTTTCTTTACTCTGCATCTCTCCCCAAGAGATGAACACCTGTGGATTCAAAAGGACTGACTTCCTGGGCCTTTGTAGAGCCCATTTGCTAGTTGGTGAGGTCGCTGTGCATTAAAGATATGGTTCACCTCCTATTCCTTTCTTCCATGATGCAAGGTGGATGGGTCAGCCGAGCCAGGAGA